AAAGAAATGGAGGAACATATGTAATATTATTCTTATATTTTGTTCTTTGTTTTGTTTCTGTACTTATCTTTATGGTCAAGTTACTGTCATCATTTTTTTTTTTTGAGTTTTTTTCTGGTACCGGGAATTGAACTCATGACCTTGCGCTTCCCAGGCAGGTGCTGTGATGCTGAGCTAAATCCCCAGTCCCCTATTGTTATCATTTCAAAATAGCTTGTTATAATGAAAACAATTTTATAAGACTTATAGTAACCACAGAAATCTATCACAGGAAAACCAAAAATAATAAGCAAGGAATCAAAACACACTTCTAGAATACATTACTTAATCACAAAGAAACACTAAAAGGAGAAAAAAGAAAGAACCTAACAAAAGTAGAAAACAAGTTACAAAATGGCAAGAGTAAACCTTACTTATCAATAATTATCTTGAATATAAATGGATTAAATTGTCCAAGTAGAAGACATAGTCACTGAATTCATAAAAAACCCCAAAACAAAACCCAACTATATGTTGCTTACAAGGATTTCCTTCATCTCTGAGGACACAGATGGACTGCAAGTCAAGTGATATTATTCTATGCAAAAGAATCCAAAAAAAAGCAGGGGTGACCATATTTTATCTGTTAAAATAAACTTTAAATCAAATGTAAGAAAAAGACACAGGAAAGGTCATTTTATAAAGGAGGCAATTCAGCAAGAGGGAGTAATGATTCTAAATATACATGCATCCACTTTTAAACATGCAAATATATAAAGCAAATATTAATGGATCTAAAGTAAGAGATAAACTCCAATACAATAATAGTTGAAACTATAATACCCCACTTCCAGCAATGGACAGATCGGAAAATCTAAAAGAAACTAAACTGCACCCTAGACCTAACAGTCAACTAATGCATACAGTATCCAACAGTTTCCAATTGCACATTTTTCTCATTCACACATGGAATATTCTTCAGAATAGATCATATGCCAAGTAACAAAACAAGTGTCTGAGGGCTGGAGACGTAGCTCAACAACAGAACTGTGTAACATCTGCAAGGGTCTTGGATAGATCTGCAGCACTGCCAAAAACAAAAGCAAAACGAAAAATAAAAACAAACCCACTTATGAAGCAAATCCAAACAAACTTTTAAAAACTGAAATCATGTTGAATAGCTTCCTTAAAATAATGCAATAAAACGAGAAATCAATAAGAAGAAAAAACTTTGGAACTTTACAAATACATAGAAATTAAACAGTTTACTTGTCAATAACCAAGAGATCAAGGAAGAAATCAAGAAGAATATTGTACCTATTTCTTGAAGCAAATGAAAATGGAAATACAACATAGCAAAACTTACAGGATACAGACAAGGTAGTATTAAGAGGGAAGATGATAGTAATCAATGGCTACATAAAAGCATAAATATCTGCTATAGAGTAGAAAGATCTCAAACAACCTATCAGTGCTTCTTAAGGAAGTAGAAAATCCAGAAAAAGCTAACTTCAAATTAGTAGAAAAAAGAATAAAAATCAGAGGAGAAAGAAATAAAAAGATTAAAATATAAAATATCAACAAAGAGGTAGTTCTTTGAAAACATAGATAAAATAGACAAACTCTCAGCCAGACTAAATAGAAGGTTTAGGTAAAAAATCTGAGATTAAAAGAGAGACATTACAGTGGGTACTACACAAATATAAATGATCATTGGAGATTATTATGAACAACTATATGCCAACAAACTTGATAATCTAAAACAAATGGACAAAATTCTAATTGCATATACCCTTCTAAGACTAAGTTGTGAAGAAATAGAAAACACAAACAGACCAGTATCAAATAATGACACTGAATCAATAATAAAAAGCCTCTTGTCGAAGAAAATCCAGATTAGATGGCTTTATTGTTGAATTACATCAAACATTTCAAGAACTAATACCAATTCAACTTGCTATTTCAAAAATTATATGAGGAAAGAATTCTTCAAAACACACTCTATGAGGCCCTCACTGTAGTGATACCCAAACCTGTCAGGGACATAGCCTTAATGACTACAAAATAATAAATCTACTGGACAGTAACCTTGAAGACCACAAATGCAAAAATCCTCAACAAAGTACTAGCAAACTGAATCCAACAGCACACTAAAAAGATTATTCATCATGATCAAATGGGATTCATCAGGGATACAGGGATGGTTCAATATGTGCAAGTCGATAAATTGATATACCACATAGAGAAAATGAAGGACACAAAACCATATGATCATTTCAATAGATCCAGAAAAGGCAACTGACAAAATTCAACATCCTTTAATGATAAAAGTTCTGAATATGTTGGATATAGAAGAAGCATATCTCAGCATAGTAAAGGCCACTTATGATAAGCCAACAGCTAACATCATGATACTGAATGGGAAAGGTTTTTTACTCTAAGACCTAGAACAAGACAAGGATGCTCGCTTTTACCACCTTTATTCATCATAGTACTGTAATGCTTGAAATTCTAGCCAGAGCAATTTGGTGAAAGAAAAAAGCAAATGGTATTCAAATTGAGAAAAAAAAGTCAAGTTGTGATTTTATAGATAGAAAATCCTCTCAAATCAACCAAAAGCTATTAGAATTAATAAATAAATTCAGCAAAGTTGCATGGCACAAAAGTGACATAAAATTCAGTAACATTGTATGGGTGAATGACAAAGTACCTAAAAGAGAAACTTTCAAAATCCCTCTTATAATAACTACAAAAATGAAATGCCTAGGAAGAAATTTAACCAAAATGTTAAAGATTTTCTACAATAAGAATTATAAAACATTGATGAAAGAAATTGAAGAGGTTAAAACTTTCCAGAAAGACATTCTGTGTTCATGGATTGGAAGAATAAATACTGTTTTCTCCATATTGACGAAAGTGATTTAAAAGCTAAATACAATCCCTATCAAAATACCAACGACATTCTTTCTTCACACAACTAAAAAACAGACCTATTAATTTATATGGAACCACTAAAAACTCTAAATAACCAAAGCCATCTGGGCCAAAAACAACACCGCATGACATATTACACTACCTGACTTCAACACATGCTACAAAGCTGTAGTAATCAAAAAGAACATGCTATTGCTAAAAAGTCAGACACATGGAGCACTGAAAGAGAAGAGATGTCCAAGACATACACCAACAAATCTAGAGCCAAGTGACTTTTGACAAAGGTGCTAAGAATATACATTGGAGAAATGACATTTGTTTTCAAGAAATGGTGGTAGAAAAATTATATATCCATATGCAGAAAAATCTATCACCAATTACAAAATTCAACTATCTCTCATCAGTTAGAAAAATCAATTCCAAATGAGTTCAAGACTGAAATGTAAGACCTGAAATTATGAAACTAATAGAAGAAAATGTAGGGGAAAGTTGGAATGCCCCAGGAAAGTACAGGAAATAAAACCAAAAATAAACAAATGGGTTGACATTAAACTAAAAAGCTTCCACATGGCAAAATGTACAGTCAACAGAATGAAGAGACAACCTTCCAAATAGAAAATACTTGCAAACAACACATTCGATAGGAGGTTGGTATCCAGAATATATGAGGAACTTCAAAAACTCAATTGCAAAACAAACAAAACACCACAGAACCCAAATAAAAAATGCACCACATATTTAAATAGCATTTATTAAAATAAGACAGACATACAAATGGCCAACAGGTATACGGAAAAACACTCAATATCACTAATCATTAGGGAAGTGTAAATATCACTTTATTCCAGTAAAGGTGACTCTTACCAAAAACACTAAAGGTAATTGTTGGTCAGGATGTAGAAAAAAGAGAAACCTTGCATTGTTGGTGGAAATATAAAATTAGTATAGCTGTTAGGGAAAACAATATTCAGCCTCTCCAAAGAATTAAAAGTAGGTCTGACAAGCACAAAGTCCCAAGTTCAATTCCCGGTACCAAAAAAAAAAAAAAAAAGAAAAGAAAGAAAAAGAAAAAATTAAAAGTAGAAGTACCATATGATCCAGCAATCACTCTATGGGTATATATTCAATGAAAATGAAATCAGTGTGCCAAAGAGACATGTGCATCTCTGTTTTCAAGGCTCACTATTCATAATAACCAAGAAATGGATAACCTAAGTGTCCATCAACAGATAAACAAAATGTAGTTCATATTCACAATGGAATACTATTCAAGCATAGAAAAATTCTGAGCCATATATTACTATGTTTAGTGAAATAAACCAGGTAGAAAAACGTAAATATCACATGATCTCACTTACATATGTAATCTAAAAAAGTTGATCTCATAGACATTGAGAACAGAATGGTGGTTATCACAAGCCACGCCAGGGATAGAGAAAGGTTGACCAACGGATTCTAAGTTTCTTTTTTTTTTCATTAAGTTTACTGGTACATTTTAGATACACATAATGATCATATTCACCATAGGGAATTTGTACTCGTACATGATATAGTTTGATTCCTCTTTCTTTCCCAATCTCCCTGCTCCCATCAGCCTATCTTCCACTCCCTATTTACAAAACTTTGTTTCCATTTTATACTTTTTCCCCTTTTTCCTTTCTTCCTTTCCCCCTTCCCACCCTAGTTTCCCTTTCCCTTTGAACAATTTCTTCCCATTTCACAATAGCTACTGTACATTTTGGTCCTTACTTGCTCTTTCAGTTTTTCACATTAGGGAGAATCACATGTTTACACATGTGAGTACGATTTATTGCAGTTAAGAGTATGGTCTCAAGTTGCGTCCATTTACCTAGAAATGCCTCAAATTTATCCTTCTTTATGGCAGAAATAGTGCTCTACTGTATAGAAAACCACATCTTCTTTATCCATTCCTCAGTTGATAAGAGCAAGAATTTCTGGTGTGCAGAATTTGTACAGTGGAATTACAACACATAACAATTGTGTACAGCACATTTTGAAAAGCTGGAAGAAAGGATTTTAAAAGCTTTTAGCATAAATAAATAATACATGTTTAAGAAGATGGATATGTTTAACCTGATTTAAATGTTATAAAGTATTATGTGTATCAAAACATTACATGGTACTGCATTAATATATACATTCTTTATGTTTCAGTTTAAAAAGAAGTACAAAAATCAATGGAAAATAAAAAAGTTTTGGTGAGTATGTGCATAAATTGGAACAGTTGCACATGAGGATGTAAAATGGTGCAGTTACTGTGGTATATAATTTGGAATTTCTTAAAAAGCTACATATGCAATTATCATATAGCCCAACAATTCCACTTTTAGGTATGTAGTCAGATGAATTGAAATGAGGGACCCCAACAGACAGCTGTATTCCCATACTTACTGCAGCATTATTCATAATAGCCAAAAGATAGAAACAAAGTAGGTGTACATCAATAGATGACATCTCAGGAATAATTTTAGAGATGAGTCTCCCTCTTACAATCCCCACTCAAGGAGAAACCATCAGCATCTCGATGCAGATACATACACATTTCCCACTCACTCCTCTCTTTAGCTGATATTCGAAATTGCATAGCCATCATTTGTGTTCTCCACAGGCCATCAGATATAATATTTCCAAAGGCTCTGGTCTGACCGTACAGTGAATATCTCCAATACTGACAGTAGTATCCACAGCTGGTATTATAAACTAGTAGAGCTCTGTGGATTAAAAAAAAAGGTTATAAAAAACTTCAAAAAATCACCTAAATTGAAGCTACACATTGAAAAAAATCCTTTACATTTTTCCTTTCTTAATTTACAAGTGTGACCAACTGTCCTTTATTTCAACTACTACATAAAACAGATTCACACTTAATCTTAATAGAAATTAAACTTGGAAGCCAAGCATGGTGGCATATGCCAATAATCCCAGCATTCAGATGGCTGAGGCAGGACTGATTCGAGTTCAAGGCCAGCCTGTGGTACATAGTCATTTGAAAGCCAGCCTGAAATACAAAGCAAGACCGTGTCTCAAAAATAAATAAATAAATAAATAAACTTGGGAAAGCAGTTAAAACCAGGGATATATGTTCCAGCACGTTGGCATTCCTCAGGTTAGGTCTTCCCCTAAAGCACGAAGTTAAGAGAGGATAGTGATCTGGAAGACCAGCATTTCTACACTAATCCTTGTATCTGTTATTCCCAATGTTGGACAGTAAATTAAGAAGAAGAATAACAGCAAAACAGTTTATGAGTAGAAGAGAGAGAGGTGATCTCAGATCTCAATTTGTATTCTGTCATCCTATGCCATAAACCTCTGCCAAGAACCTAGCTTTTTGTCAATTATAGACAGAAACTAAGGAGATATAGACAACATGTCTTCAACTCTGTAAACTGTTCAAATCAATGAAATAGTGAAATTAGGGGAACTTCTTTTTTCCTAACTATACAGTCCTATAGGACTTTAGTACCCTATCACTGTTGCCCTCGTAGAGCTGTGCTCTGACCAAGAAGAACTCTGATCATCCCAAATAAGGGGCTGCCATCACAAACAGGTACAAATCACCAAATACAAAACATTGGCCAGGAAATGAAAGAATGAGTGTTAAGAGTCATGAAGGTAAGACATGAGACTATATAGGACAAGGTGTCAGTAGGTGGTTCCTCAGATCCTCTTCTGAGGCTCAGGACTGTAGCAGGGAGCAAACCTCAGAGGAGGCAGTAGATCTGATACCCCTGTATATGGAAGGTGAGGACACAGCAGGGCTGGATCTCTTCCAGACTATACTTCTTCCTTGGCTTTACTGATGGTGAGATAAAGGAATCTTCTTAGGAGTTGAAAGGCTTCAAGGCCTCCAGGGGAGACACCTCATGTAAAGTGCTAAGCACAAGTTCTGAGACTTATAGATGAAAGCATCTGTGTTCCCTTTCTCTCGAATCTTATCCTTACCACTTCCCCGGAGCTGCCCAGATGCTGCTCAAGTATTGAAACTTTATCAGGTGGAACCTATGAAAAGCTAGTAGCACAATTTGGTCTTCTTGATTACTCCTTGAACATGTTCAAACTAAAGATTTTTCTAATGTGAACTTGTTTTGTTTGGATGCTCCTATAGATAACCCCTTGTTGTTTTCTTTTCTTTTCTTTTTGTCTTTTTTGAGACAGGGTCTCACTATGCAGTTCAGGCTCGCCTTGAGCTCACTTTGTAGCCCAGGCTGGTCTCGAACTTGCAGCGATCCTCCTGCCTCAGCCTCCTGAGTGCCGGGATTATAGGCGTGCACCACCACAGTTGATATATTCTGTCAGCGTGAAGTCTAGAAGTTTAAATAAGTAACTCAGCAGTTCTACATTCTGGGGTGAAAAGGACATGCTCTTACTGCTGTAGGATGTTGTTCATTGTGTCAACTTGAGACATTTAAAAATTCAACTAAGTGATTCAGCAGTGGGCCAGGGATGGTCTTTTGTAAACATCCTCAGCTTGTGGAAGAGGAGGGCATGGAGATGGTGTGACCATGGGAGGATAGCCAATATACGACATAAGGGAGGAAAAGAGGCTTGCTCCACCTCCTTTTTGCTCTTCCTGATTTTGCTGTCTTCTGCCGCCTTGAACTGTTGCGCCTGTGCCATGCCACCCTGCCTTGGAGCCAGCTGATTATGGACTGAAACCTCTGCAAACTGTGAGCTAAATAAACCTTTCCTTCCTCAATATTGGGTGTCTGGTATTTTGTCTCAGTAATGAGAGAAAAGTAACCAAGCACCCGTACAGATAGTGTTCTTCACCATCTTTATGTTGTTTCTGACTATATTTGAGTGAAGAACTAGGACAAAATTTTCACTTGTTTCAGCATGCAACTTTATTAACATGCAAATAAATTCTTGAAGAATACATTTATATCAATATAAAGCACAGAAGTATAATCAGGATGAATAGTATCATTATCAGGTCACCTAGGAGAAATACTAAAAATCTCTTGAGTTATGTTATACAGCACAATAAAAATTAAAAAACGTTCACACTCTCAGGATGATTTGGTATTCATAAAATTGGCTCTTTGAATCAACAGAGAGGACATAAACATTTAAATTAAATATGCATTGGCATCATGAAAGGCTCTGCGAGAATACACAGCTACTCAAAGTTTGAGCATTAAATGTATAACTCTCTCTCTCACCTCGGAATCACTGTGCTCTGCTAAGTCTTGGAGTTTCTGACCAAACACTTTTGCTTCCTGGAATATAGAAATGAGTTCAGATTTAGTGAACTTTTCTTTGGTAAATAACTTTGACCCTCTTTTGAATTGGAAATTTATATTCTCAAAAATTTCAATGATATTAAAAATATTGGCCTTTGACTCATTCTTGTTAAAGAGTGCAACCAGTGATGACAGTACTTCAGCACTGATCAGTTTTCTTGTGTTGGCTTGATTTTTAGACAAGCATAAAAACACTTTTAAAGCATAAAATTTGATTTTAACACTTCCCTTGTTTAACAATGTGAGCATATCTGGAATGTAACTGAGAATCATCTGGTGATTCTTAAATTTCACACTCAGGGGCACTAATAATTTTAGACCAGCCAGTTGCACAGTGGAGTTCAAAGGATAAGAGATTATATCTTTACACATTTGAGGTATACACGATTCACCCACTTTTGGTTCTGCAGAAGACTCAGCGCTATTATCAACCACATTACAAGCTGTAGAATCTTCTTTAACATTGGAATTATTAACCAAGTTTTCAATCATAACTGTAATACCAACATCATGAATTATACCTTGGGTAAAGGGATAAGCAGGGCTGATGCCCATTGTCATTGTAGCTATTTCATGAATGAAAGGATCCTTAGTTAACTTCAGTAAGGCAACAAGTTTATCAAACTCTTTAGGCTCTAAACTAAAGCAACGTGACTTGCAGTAGCAGGCCCTTGGATTAGGCCCATACTTTTCCCTTTGCCTAATCTGTTTTTTTATCTCTGCCAAGGTTTGGAGGTAAGGCCCATTATAAAGTGGAATCTTGGTCAGAGGCCGAATACCCAGAGGAGTTTCAATCAATGTTGTAACTAGGGTCCAGTTTCCTTCTGGAGGCAAGGGTTGTTCGTCTTCCTCAATTGGGACTAGGACAATGTATCTATCCCTTGACCATGCTGTTGCTTTTTGTTTTACAGTAAGTTTCAGTTTGTGTGTGGGTGTGGGCATGGGTGTGGGTGTGGGTGTGGGCGTTTCCTGGATTTTAGGTGGGGCCTCATAAGTTTGAAGAGAGTTTTCTTCTTCAGGCCAGAACCAGGACCCTACACTAGGCTCTTCTCCAGTCCAGAACCAGGAGCAGACATTTTCTTCATCTTCATCAGTGGACTTGATTCCAAAGCCAGCTTTGTTCCCAGCCATGGATTTGATGCTGGCCTCTTCCTTTATCTCATATCTGGACACAATATTGGCCTTATCATCAGCCTTGGCACAGGACCGGACATTTTCCTCACTGCCAGAAACAACTCTGACTGTCGGCTTAGTTATAGCATTGAGCCTAGACACAAGCACAGCCTCTGATTTGGTTTGGGGCACTATAGCAGGCTGTGCAAAGAGTTTTGTCTGAGTTTCAACCACGACTCTAGTATCAGTCATATGTTCCATTTTGTTTACTTCCCTTATCCTAGTCACAGGTTCAGTGTAGGTCATTGGCTGTGTCATGGCCATTATTCCATCTCCAAACTTGGCCTGGGTCATTAATTCTGCTTTTGGTTCTGCCTCAACCACTGCTATGGACTGAGCCTTAGCCCTCACTCTTGCATTGTCAGGGCTACTGATTGCAGCTTTCAGGCCATCCCCAACCTCTTCTCTAGCATTTTCTGTAGCCTTGGAGTTAATCATGGTCCAAGTTAAAAGCAACACCAAATAATGTACCCCTAGCCTTGTGTAGGCCTTCACTGAAGGTCTGTCCCAAGTTAATGTTTTTCTACAAAGTCTAGTAGTCACTCAGCTCCCTTTCCAACTAAGGTTCTGCTAGTGATATGGATAACATGCTGAGGAAACACACTCAAGTTAAAGAGGGATGGCTGTGCCTGTGTGCAGCCCTGTGAGGGTGGTGGTCTTCAGCCACTCCAAGGCCACCAGATCTGCCACAGAAGTTGGACCTAGGGGTGGAGGAAGGAAATGGGGCTTTAAGTCTCTTCCAATTTTTATTCCTCTTGCTGATTAGCGAGATAAGAGAGTATGAAATTCAACGTTGTGTGGGAGATGCACATCATCAGCAAATTCCTCTCATTTCACCCACATTCTACACCTCTAAGTGCTTCCAATCTCCTTTCTGGGCAATAGAAAGGGCGTAGAGGGTAAGAAAGCTGCATGGGAATGAGAGAGGCTGAGGAATACCTAGACTGGCTCTTGACCCTGCTGGAACCACAGAGATCTCCATTATTCCATCCTACAGCTCTACCTGGGCAGTTCCTACAGTTATACCAACCTGTACTAATCTGAAGTATTTTCTTCTTTCCTTGCTTCCAGTGGTGACAAGCCCAATAGCAGACCTACAGGCAGATCTATGGACAAATAAACAAACAAAAGGACATTAAAACTGATGTCTTGATAGACAGACTTTGGTCCCTAGCCCTTATTTCTGCATTTCAAGATACAGTTTTCTTAGTGTTTCCCTCATCTTGGTCCCCTCCCTCACTGCCCTGCTTCAGGGAAGTCCCTCATCCTCCTTGTAGCCCACCATTTGCCTTTTCAGTGACTGTTCAGGCACTCCCCTAGTTCACAACTGGATCACAGTGAAGCATGAAACCAAGATAAGCAAGGGAGAATAGGAAAGGTAGGTCTCCACATTCTGTATCCCCATAGTGTACCATGCATCCCAACTAAACCAGCAGAAGGACAGCAAACAGAAGTCATTAATAAGCTGGTAAAAGAGAAGTGAGGGAATTCTCTGCCTTAGTCACTCCTGTCCCTGTTACCTCACACCAACCTTAGCAGATACAGGGCAATTTTTCTTTGCATTATTTCCTAGCTTCGGGTTGGGTTATTTTATAAGTTTTATAACAAGTGACAGTTCTATAAAATATGAACAGATCTACCCACAGAGACTCACAAACACAGACACAAATAAATGGAGACACAGCAGACCACAGACACTGAGTCCTTAATAAAGACCAGGAACTAAGCATAGATGCCTTGTAAATAAAGGTACCTGCTTACCAAACATTTTCTACTTGCCTTTCTCTCCAAACTCCTAAATCTCCAAGATCCTCTGCTCCATTCTCAAAGTCTGACAATTTCAGTGCAGAGGCAATTCAAAATATCACTGCAAGGTAATAGTGATGTTAGTAGGGATGAAATATCCAAGCAAATCATGGAAGCTAGAACAAAGTATCATTTCCAGATTTCTCACAGGTTTTTAACGTTTCCTTCCTCTCCCCCAATGCCCATTAATTTCTGCAGTTTGATGGAGTAGGAGAGGACATATCTGGAAAGCCGACAGAGGAAATGTGGAGATCATTCTAGATCCCAACCTGCTCTACACTTGGGTATCTACCTTTAAGCACTCCATATGATGCAGAAAACAGGCCAATATTCTTTTTTTCTCTTTTTTCCTTGGAGTCTGCAGCTTCCTAGAGATCTTTACGGAAGCATGGACTGCTACAAACTTAGAAACCTATCTACGTAGATAAACGTAGGAAACACACCCAGAAATCAAATGAAAAGACTTTGAGAGACGTGGTTATTAATAGACCAGATCAGGATATGAAATTTCTTCGATTTCAGGTCCTTGATTATCACACATTTACAGTCTATTAACGTTCTCTCCCTCTCAGTTCCCCACAAACAACTGTCTTCATCAATAGCACAAACCCCTCTTCTTACATAGTCCACCATTTCCACGATGGATGCCGGCACTACACCTCATTCTCTTTCCAAACTGGGTCGGAAGTGGGGTGAGTTTCTGGAAGCTGGAAACAGGTCAATTTTACCCTAGTGCCTTTCTCCACCCACCTCCCAAGACCAGGTCACATATCCCACACTCATCTCTGACATCCTCATTCACATCCTCAAGCAATGTCCGCCTTCTCACTGACCTTCTCTGCTTGCCTCAGAGGCAGTTTCCTTTTTTCCTCGTCAAGGGGTGACGTGCCACACAGGAAGGACGGACTGTCAGGCACAAGGACCCGAGACAATGGCGGCGACTATGTTTGGGAGTTGACACGGCACCTAAGACTTATAACTAGATAAAGGGCTGGGACTGGCAAGCTATTTTCATTTTTTTAGTATCGTCCTCTCTTTCCAGTGCTCAGGGCGCCTCAGGAACCCGCACATAGTGACTAATCAACATCTACCTTTTGCTCCGCACACTAAACTCAGCCAGGTCTCCCTTACGGAAATCAGCACCACGAGCAGCTGGAGTGTAATTTAAAGCGATCCGGCTTAGGGAAGCGGAGTGATACCAATCTTTACTTCCAGCCGCATCCTGCTGTCATCGGGCTCCGTCCCGCCCACTCGGTTTCAGATACAGCCTGGAAAGTGCTCGGGCTGGATTCAGACGTAGGACAAACAGCACTGAATGGAGAAAGGCAGGCAGACACCACGATATCAAGTTCTCTGTTAGGCGCTCCCCTCACTTCACTTTCTTTCCCAACAGGAATGCATGTGTGTTTCGGGCTGTGTAGTTGGGAAATTAGCTCTGGCCTGACAAGGCGGACGGATATAATAGAAAATACAATGATTTTCATGTTGACAAAATCACCTCGCCAAAGCTCCCTCAACTGGGCCGGTTAAGGGAAGGTCTCAAGATAGAAAAGTAGGGGGCAAAGGGTCAAAACTGAGGTAGGAGTATAATTTCTAATCTATTCCACAAACTGTTTTCTTTCTATGTGAGAAGCCCTTCAAACCAGCCCTCCAAGCACTTTTCTATTTCATGTGGATGAGATCTGGAAAGCTGCTTTGGCCTGACTTACTGTTTAATACCAGTCTCTTCCCCTTTATCTTTTCCGGTTGCTCTTGCCTGGTATTTTGTTTTATTGTCCAGCATCTATCTTACATCGAAATAATCTTAGGTAACGTGTGATAAGGATATGGGAAAAGCAGCAGTGAACAGAGAAAAAAGCACATTAATACCAAACTACCTCTCTGTGGATGTATCCCATTCCTATGATATTTTCCCCACCTAAATATGCACTGAATTTGGGCAAGAGAAAAACAACTCTTATTCTTATGAAAGAGAATTAATAATAAAATGTCTTAAACCAGCTCCCCTCTTAATGGGTCCTTTCTAAGCTTGACCCAGTGTAGCTCTCCCAAGTCTTCTGCGGGTGAAGGGGTCTCAGGACAGCAAGTTGGGAGAGGAAACACATTTTCAATCCACATATTCCCTTTAATTGTCTCATGTTTTTCTTTCACTGCTTCATAGAGCCAGAAAGGAGAGAAAGGCATTTAAGGGAACTGATCTCAAAGGAACAGAGATGGTACTTCCTTACCACTGCTTCTCTTCCAGACTTCTAGCCTTTCCAGTCTCTTTCATGAAGGATCATTCTTTGGGGGCCACACTGATTTTTTTCTCATCCTGAACAGGAATTCACTTGGGTATTGTGCTGTTCCCACAGCTGACTAAGAAAAAGGGCCCTTCCTCGTCAGGACCCATACAGGGTCATACAATTCTCCTTCTCTGCTGCCCAACAACGAAGTTTCAGGCACTCAGCCCCTGGCCTCTCACCCACTATAATGTCAGAAAAGAGGGCCACTACTCTCATACACTTCTTCAAGGCAAATACCAGAGCTGGGCGTGGTGGTGCATGCCTGTAATCTCAGCACTCTGGAGGCTGAGGCAAGAGTATTATTGCGAGTTCAAGACCAGCCTGGGCTACAAAGTGAGCTCAAGGCCAGCCTGAACTGCATAGTGAGACCCTGTCTCAAAAAGACAAAAAAAAAAA